CCCAGCTGCCTCACTGACAGCACTGCCTCTGTGTGTCTCTCTGGGCTTCTTCCTCCAGAGCCTTGTTTGACTACGACAGGACGAAAGATTCCGGTCTTCCAAGTCAGGGCCTCAACTTCAGATTCGGGGACATCCTCCATGTGGTGAACGCCTCCGATGACGAGTGGTGGCAGGCACGGCAGGTGACCCCCGACGGGGAGGTGGAGGACGTCGGTGTCATTCCTAGTAAGCGGAGGTTGGTATCCAGGAGCTACACTTCGTTGAGTCTGTATCGCGGAACGCGGCACAAGTAGCTGCCTAACTGGAAAGGGATCTGTTTCTAAACCCGTCTGTGTCATCGTCTTGTCCTGATAAACAATAAACCAAAACGATTAACCAACTCACTGGCCAGACTCGTTAAAGCGAACAGGACGGCCCAAAGTGCAAAAGTAACAGCTCAGTACAACGGTGGCGTGAAAAGGGTTTCTCTGAATTTACACTCCTCTACCCTGTAAGCGAAATGTAATGTAATGTACAATGTAACAATGTAATGTTATACAAATAGAATTCAATTGAACTTCTTTATAAAATTACAAAGCTGTAAACCAAAACTAAAATCTACCAAAAAAACACCAACAGTTATTAGAAGATTAATTTTTTAAACGATTGCTATTTCCCCTCAAGGTTCTTAAAAGTGTTTTTTCATGTTCAGTACTGTTTAGCAGTGGTATTTCATAAAACCTTGATAGTGGTTTGTTAGCCGTTTGCAACCTTCTGTCACGCCTGTTGGCACCTAAGCGCTTCTCCCATGATCCCATTGGATTTTGTATGGGAATAAACTGGACACTGGTCCTCTCAGGGCTGGGGTCTGAATCCGGGCTTTGTCAGGTCACGCACCTCAGCACTGGGCACCTCTCACATCCCTGATATCTACCGTCATACGTGCAATAAACCTCTAATTAGTGAGCAGCCCTCTTCAGCAGATTCCATTCACGGCCTCGTCTTTCCCTCTGCAGAATGGAGAAGAAGGAGAGGGCCAGGTTAAAGACGGTGAAGTTCAACTCCAAGTCTCGGGACAAATGGGTAAGCGTTCCTGTCAGCCCTCCTCCCAGCTTTGTGCTCAGGCAGATGGCGTTTGTCAGGGTGCAGGGAAGCTCGCCGCTTTGGAGAAGCTCAAGCACGTTCTTCGCTTAACGGTTTGGGCGGTGGTGATGTAGTGGGGTGCTGTTATACTGTATAAGTGCGAAATATGGTTCAATGTCAGACTCTCACACTCTTCCCTGGCTTACGAGGGTCCATGACTTTACGTTGGGAAAAGGTTTTTCACTTTCAGTACATTATTCAATAAATTACACGAGATATTCAACAATTTATCATAAAATAGACTTTGTGTTAATGATTTTGCCCAACTGTAGACTAATGTAAGTGTTCTGAGCCTGTTTAAAGTGGGCTAGGCTAGGCTTTGATGTTTGTTAGGTTAGGTGAACTGTATTAAAATGCATTTTCGCCTTACGATATTTTCGACTCACGATTGGTTTGTTGGAATTTAACCGCATTGTAACTTGTAAGAGGCTGTATATATAAAAAAAAAAACTTCAAAACCTCAAAAATTCAAGTTTCATGTTATATTGTTACTTGTTCTGAAGAACAAAGTGAAATTCTTCTGCTCCAGTTGCAGGGTGGGGTATCAGAGAATAGCACAAACTGGACTGTAATAGTCTTTTGATGTCTCTTGTTTTGTACTAATTTAATGCAGCTACAGTACAGTTACAGGTACCTAGTACTGACATTTGCGATTCTTGTACTTTGTGCGTAAGAAGTGTATAGAGAATGTTTTTGGTTTAAATAGAAAATGCTGTATGTTCTTCTCCAGATGTTATACCTAAGGATGCCACTGCTCATTGTAGTTAATCTACGCCTCCTCTTCCAGTCATGTGACAGCACTGAACGTGCTAATCTGTAACGCTAACTGCAGCTTGTCAGTGCGCAGTCAGGCCCCCGGCCTCCTCGTGGCTGTCCCACACGTCAAAGGGCAGCCGCGCTTGCCATTGATCCCGGACTGCTCTTTATCCGCACTCCTCCGTCTCCTCTTTGCTTTCTCCCGCTCCTCCTTTCTGACCCCGTCTCCTCCTGCCTGCGCTGTTCGTTCTGTGAGCATGTTCCCGGCATCCAGCCGCCTGACAGATGTTCACTGCGTCTGCGCAGGCTCTGCAGTGTGACGGTCGCTGACGTTAATCCGGGTTGATGGCTGCGCTGGGCCCCTTTCATGCCAGCTCTGCTTAAAAGGTTCTCCAGGCAGCAGCACTTCAGGCCATTTTCAAGGTGCTCTTAAAGTATCTGCATAAGCTGCTACTAGAAGCAGGGGCTACTGAAAAGCCCATTAAGCCCCCGGGCGGAGGTGCAGTCTTGCTGCTTGTTCTGAATCTCAGCGACGCTTTTTCCTCACTCCGTCAGGCCAGGATGTCAGTTCTCGCCCATGTCAATGAACCTTTTAGAGCTGGGTGTGCAGGAGACTCACGCCCCACGCAGCTGAACATGCGCATCTCTGGGTCATGTCTGTCCGCTCTGGAACGTCTGCCATGTCCCTCTTGGTTTCTGACGATTCTCAGATGCTTGCAGACGCTTTTGAGTGGGGGGTTAATCAGATTTGGATAGTTTTTTGGATGTCCTTTTTTTTATTGGACACAAAATCCACCCCCATTCAACTTTGGATTCGAAGTAAATAACTCCTTAAAAGCTGTGCATGAATGATGTAGGTAGCCGGCATCCCATAATGCTCTGTCCTGGAGACAGCCTCCTGACTGACAACCCCCCCTCCCCGCCCCCCTTGCTCGCTCCACCTCTTCTTGGCTTTGGTCTTCTCTCCTTCATGTTTTTTTTCTTTCATTTTTCATTTCATTTTTCCTGCTCATTCTAAAGTTTTGATTTTGGGGTGTCAAGGTTTATTCTATACATCACTGACATTTTGAGCATTTTTGACCGAAACATTTTAAAAGACCCCAGTGTCTGCGTTAGTATGCATTCACAGGAGTTTTACTTACACAAAACTGTTCTGAGGGCAGAACAAAAAATGACGCGTTCAGAGAGATAACCAATCAGATTGTAGAGGATGTGGGTCCAGGCAACGAGAGGAGGTGGGGCCAAGACATCTGATTGGTTAGTCTCACCTCCACTAATTGTTTGGACCCACCGTCATTTTTCGTTCTGCCCTCAGAGTTTATGTCCATAAAACTCTCATGAGCGTTAAAATACAATAAACATTTTTTTTTACCTGGGTACTCAAAATTGGCAGCAGTGCCACTGCCATGTTCCTCGTGCTGGCAGTGTGCTGGCAGTGCGCTGGCAGTGCGCTGGCAGTGCGCTGGCAGTGCGCTGGCAGTGCGCAGGCAGTGTGCTGGCAGCGTTAGTCACACCTGTGCATTTCCGGTGCTCACACTGTCAGTGACGGGGTCTCTGGGCCTCTGCTTTTTCGTTCATGTCGTTTTAGATCCCCTCCCCCCTTTGTGTTTCGCCCCCCCTTCTCTTCCTCAGCAGTCAGTCAATGAAAAGCGTAAAAAGAACCTCTTTTCCCGAAAGTTCCCTTTCTACAAGAACAAGGACCCGAGCGAGCAGGAAACCAGTGACCTTGACCGTAAGTAGCCTGGTCAGACGTAGGAGTGGTCAGCCCCCGAGGTGTTCAGGCCCGGCTTCCGCGTCGCCCGGTCAGGGCCTGGGCTCCCCAGGTTGGGGGGGGCTGTGTGTGGGTTCCCGGCCCCTCAGCCTCACGGTCCGCTCCAGCTACAGACCCCTAGTATCCTCCTGTAATGATGATTCTTCTGTGGTTGTTTCTCCTGCTCGCTTGCTCACGGCGACCCCTCCCTCACAGGAGATCCCAGACGACATGGGATCGAAAGGCCTGAGTAAGTCAGTCTGCCCTCCGCAGCACCCCTTCGGCCCCCGGTCTGCCCCATTCCTGCCCTCGTCATCATCTTTGGTTTTTTTGTTTTTTATTTCCTCTTCGTTGAAGGGGCTTTAACCTCCCCTCCATCTGGTGCGCTCCATCTGTAGTACATCAGGTCATCATTTCCCTGCGGTGTCCTTCATAACGCACGGCAGCTCGCTCTTGGGGTTCCTGGTTCTCAAGCTCTCCCTCCTCCTGATAGCTCCTGCTGTGTCGTTGGTCTGGTGTTAGGGGGGGTTTCTGTTTTTACAGCATCTTGGGTGCGACTGAAGAGACTGGCAACATTTTCTGGTAACACTGCTTGGCAGTTATAGTGACAGAAACACTGCAGTGTGATGCCACACAAAGCACACTCAGTAACTGCAGTGTAATGCAGTGCACTGTGTGACATCTATAACCTGGGGCTCAATCAGGGAATTAAAGTTCACCATCTAAACGGCGACACACATAACACGTGGATTCTGCCCCGCCTGGCCATTTTTAAATGGTTTTAAATTACTAAACTGAGCAGCTTATCAGGAAATGCAGTCAGAGAGTAAATACGCTGTTTCTGGAATAGCGGCTCCTCACTGAAACCCTGTGCCACTGTCTGGCTTGGGTCCCTGTTAACGTGCCGGTTAATGTTGCTTAGGTGTTAACAGCTAAAGGGTTCTGTGGTCACTTCCGTAGCCTTGCTTCCGAATAACTGAGGGGCAGCTGCGTGACCAGTCCCCTTTTTAAATCAAAATAAGGTTACTTATTTATTTAGAGCAATTCCCATAGACTATAACTGAAACGATCCCATATTCACCCTGATACAGACATTAATATTTGTGTGTCATTTTTAATGCATTCGCTGCACTTTCTTTTCCAAAATATATTCAGAATTCATGAAGCTACAGCAAAGATCTGTATCATATTTCATTCAAGGACCAATCTAAATTTAATCTGGTGTTCAGCGGGTTTAGAATGGCTGACGCTTGCGCTTTATTCACCAGCGACAGTGAGTAAAGCACAAGCGTTTCACAAGCGCTCACTGGCAACCCCTGCTGGTGTCTTTTATTTTGCACGCATCGGCTGTGACCTGCAAACTGCTTTCTGTGTCTGTGCTCATGCTGTTTTTGTTATCATTTCAGAGCATGTAACCTCTAATGCCAGTGATAGTGAAAGTAGTTACCGTAAGTGTGTGCACCATTTTACTGCCCTCCCGCCTTCCCATGAATCCTGTCCTTTTACCTCGTTGTCAGTCCTGGGTCCAGTCACTTAATTTGTCTGCATTTTCTGTGATATGTCTTAAGGAGCAAAACACGTAGACTGTGTTTGTATTCTCTGATGTAAGACCATGCACTGATTTAATAAAAGGCTTGGAAGAGATGCATGACACACCTCAGTATATTTCCAAGGTCAGGCTGTTGATGACACTATTTATGGACATTTTTAAGAAAGGAAAATGCCTTTGGAGCAGTTTTTAATTAGGCTGTTTGCTCAGATTGACTTTACCTTCCTGGTGGGATGCCTCGAAATAACGTATCGACCTTTGTGAGACACACATGATAGTGACACAACAGAAGGCATTCTCGCTAGTAAACATCACACTGGCCCACTCCAAAATGAGACACACTTCTCACTTTTGTAACGAGCTCCTGTGCTCACTCGTCTGCCAGGTGGAGTGGAAGAGTACGTCCTGACGTATGAGGCGGTCTGTCAGCGAGAAGGTGAGATCAGGACTCAGCTGACAGCTCAGTCTCTGTCCGGATAAACTCAACTCATGTTGGCATGCGGATGTGGCTTCAATTGAACTGTAAACTGCTGCAGCGTTTGGTTTAAAAGCTTAAATGGTTTAAGACTATTTTAACCGTTACATAAACTTCAATGTTTTCGTCGTCTTCCAGTGAACTACACTCGTCCAGTGATAGTCCTGGGACCTATGAAAGACAGAATCAACGACGACTTGATCTCGGAGTTTCCTGACAAATTCGGGTCCTGTGTGCCTCGTGAGTATGACATCACATGTGCATTCATCTGGCGCTTTTATCCAAGGGACTTACAGTAGAGGGAAGGGTTGTAATTTATGTTTATGTGTGCTCGCTGGGATTCAAACCCATAACTATTGTGTTGGAAGTGCAGTGCTCTTATGTGTGCAGTATTAGTGACAGTCAGACCCTGGAAGGGGACACACATGCTGTAGTGCAGTGTGTCACAGCGTCAAGCACGTGTAGGTACGTCTCCTGGGAAGACAGTGCACTTTCATATGAGGGCTACAGTCTGCACTTCTGATAGGAGTCTAAGTAGCCAGGGGACTCATTCACGAGTCACAGTAAGAAGGGACGCGAGATCGACAGGTGCAGCAGGTCATTGGTTGCAGTTTTATGGGCACTGGGCAGGTCTATGGTGGTGAAAGATGAGCTGCGCGGTTGGGTGAGGCTCGTGGTTTAGACAGACTGGCAGATAGACAGACAGACACACAGAAACAGACAGACAGTGACTGAAACAGACAGAGCGGAGGTTTTGGGAAAAATGCCCAGGATGCAGAATGCAGCTTTTCTTTGTTAGCATATTTTGTTCACTACTTGTGCATGAATGTCATTATCGCATCGCATCTGACTTCAGTGTCCAGTTCTGACCAACCCTGCCCATTTCAGACACCACCAGGCCGAAGCGTGACTACGAGGTGGACGGCAGGGACTATCATTTTGTCACGTCACGAGAGCAGATGGAGAAGGACATTCAGGACCACAAGTTTATCGAGGCTGGCCAGTACAACAACCACCTGTACGGCACCAGCATTCAGTCGGTGAGGGAGGTGGCAGTGAAGGTGAGTCTCCCCCAGCTCATCATGCCGTTTGCAGTTCCTGACCTGACCCTGCCCTTCCTTATACGAGGCTTTGATGGAGAGAGCACAGAAAATGGATCATCACCTTCTTAGTACAGTGCTGTTTGTAAACACTGAGTATGTCCAGTGGTGCAAAGTAACAAAGTACAATTACTTCGTTATTGTACTTAAGTACATTTTTCACATATCTGTACTTTACTTAAGTAAACTTAGCCGTGGACAGTTTTGACTTTTACTTTACTACATTTTACAGCGAATATTTATACTTTCTACTCCACTGCGTTTCCCCGGAGCATTGCGTTGCATTTTGCAGTGACGGCTTTTTGAAATCAGATGCCAACAGGGAAAGGTAGTAAATGGACAGGTAATACCGAGATTTCAAAGCTTTTCTTGTCAAAGTAAAGCCCCGTGACTTGAAGCAGGGAGTAGGCGTCAGAGGTTTAGAGTCCTGTCGGCTCTTAGAAACTTTTTTTTTATATATATA